TCACCGGGTCCCGCCTGGTGATTACTCTCCAGCACCCGGTATTAGCAATGGGGGGGGGGGGTTGGAGAGAATTGTATGTAAACAATACAGCTCTCTCCCCTGTCAGCTCCAGCCCCTGCAAAGCAGTGTGCTTACAGTTGAAAGCACAGACACAGCATACTGTGAAACAGCACACAGTTAACCCCTTCCTGACCAGTGCCATTAGTACAGTGTCAGTGCTTTTTATTTGCACTGATCACTGTATTCGTGTCACTGGGGAAGTCAATGACACCAAGTCAGTTTCCCCCAGTGTCAGAATGCCCGCCGCAGTCCCGCTAAAAGATGCTGATCGCCGCCATTACTAAAAAAAAAGTAAAAAATTCCAGTATCTATACCGCCATTTGTAAACACTATAACGTTAACATAAACCAATTATTTCCACGTATTGGGATTTTTTTTATAGGAAAGACATGTAGCAGAATACATTTTGTCCTAAATTTATGACAAAATTAGATTTTTAAAAAACTTTTTACTGGACATGTTTAATAGCAACAAGTCAATAATATTGTTTTTTTTTCTCAAAATTGTCAGTCTTTTTTTTTTCTATAGCCCAAAAATAAAAAATGCACAGGTGATCAAATACCACCAAAAGAAAGCTCAATTTGTGGGGGGAAAAAAGGACGTAAATTTAATTTGGGTGCAGTATTGCATGATCATGCAATTGTCAGTTAAAGTAACGCAGCACTGTAATGCAAAAAATGGCCTGGTCAGGAAAGGGGGTAAATCCTCAGGAGGACAAGTAGTTAACAAATAAACATTTCTGATGTTTAAAAAAATAAATAATTGACCATTATAGCCACCCTTCTTTTCAATAACAGTCAGAAGCCTTCCATTCATGGAATCTGTCAGTTTCTTGATCTGTTGATGATCAACATTTTGTGCAGCAGCAACCACAGCCTTCCAGACACCGTTCAGAGAAGTGTACTGTTTTGTTTGCTTTGTTGAATGTGATGGAGCATTGTCCTGCATAAATATCATGGTCTTCTTGAAAGATGCAGACTTTTTTCTGTACCACTGCTTGAAGAAAGTGTCTTCTAAAAATTGGCAGTAGATTTGGGAGTTGATTTTGAGTCCATCTTCAACCCAAAAAGGTCCACCTAGCTCATCTTTAATAATACCAGCCCATACCAGTATCCCACCTCCACCTTGCTGGCGTCTGAGTCAAAGTGGAGCTCTGTACCCATTACTAATCCACCCATCTGGTCCATCAAGAATCACTCTCATCTCATCAGTCCATAAAACCTTTGAAAAATCTGTCTTCAGATATTTCTTGACCCAGTCTTAACGTTTCAACTTATGTGTCTTGTTCAATGGTGATTGGGTTTTAGCCTCCCTTACCTTGGCCATGTCTCTGAGCACTGAACACCTTGTACTTCTGGACACTCCAGGTAGGTTGCAGCTCTGGAATATGAGAGCACTGGAGGTTAATGGGTTCCTGGTAGCTTCATGTTTAATTCTTCCCAATTCTTTGGAAATTAATTTGAGTCTTATTTTTCAACACATTTCTTGCGACCCTGTTGACTATTTGCAACAAAATGATTGATGGCTCTGTGATCACGCCCCAGTATCTTAGCAACTTCAAGAGTGCTGCATCTCTCTGAAAGACTTTTTACAATTTTTGAATCAGTTAAATCTCTTTTTTGGCCCATTTTGCCTGAGGAAAAGAAGCTGCCTAATAATTGTGCACATCTTGATATAGGGTATTGCAATAGTGGGACTCAGCTGCCTTATGAGCTGCAGTACCAAGGCTGGCCAGCGGGTGCTCCCAGCAATCAGAGACTCAACCTTGCAGCCAGTCAAACACCTGGAACTAATTATACTGGTGTATTTAAGGGACATTCAGACCTGCAGACTCTGCCTTGGTGTTGTGTTTCTCTTGGGCCCTGTATCCTGTTCCTGCTCTCTGTTCCTGTCTGATTCTCTGCTGACCCTGCTCTGATCCCTGGCTTGTCTGACCATTCTCCTCTGCCTGACCCTCTGTACCACGCTGCCCGCTACCTGCTGAACCTGGCCTGTGACCCCGACCATTCTCCGCTTGCTCCCCCTGTACCTACCTGCCCCGACTGATATTGACCCGGCCTGCCTGACGACGCTTGCATTGTATGTACTGTTATCTGTGGGTGGTTGGTTGGTTTGTTTTTGCACTGTGTTATGTTTTAGTATTGCACTGCGTTTATGTTTGTATGGTTAGTGTTAATAAATTACATTGTTTATAACATATCTGAAGTCTGCGTTTCCCTGCGTCAGTCACACACACCTCTGGTCATACCCGGGAGCCCTGACATTACACCAAGGCCAATCCTGACCAGAAGTGGCTGCACAGGGAAGCCATCTTGGCTTGTTGATGGGAAGGATGGATCTGGATGAGGTTGCGTATTTATATCTGCTAGTGTTTGATGACAGGGAGTATGCTTATCAAACTCTGAAGGAGTATACCCGGGATGAACTGCTAGAATGTATACGGCTCGCTCATGTTCTAGTAGATCAGGGCACAGAGTTCTCTGAGGTGCAGCCTTTGATTGAGGTTTGTGCTGAGTTGGTTTCATCTGGTACCCCCGAATGCAGGGATGAATTTTTGCCACCATTTAGTGCAGACCAGGTAGAGTCCCTGGTGTGGTTATTAGAGGATGATGTGGGTTACTTTCTGGAGCGTTATTCCACATGTTCACCACAGACACTAAGAGATTGTATAAAAACGCAGCAGTGCAGTCTTTGGTCAGACAGGCTTTGTGTAAGCTCAGCTTTGTTCAACCCATACTGCAGACATGGACAGACTTGTTGCACCCAGCCTCAGTCAGCTTACAAAAACCCCAGTCCTGCTTCTAATCTATTTCCTCAAAACTCTATTCCTGCATTCCCAACAGCTCCTCCTGCCCTGCTATCTACCGCATGTCAGTACCCTGTTCCCACTCGCTGCACCTATCCTGCCTTTAACCCTGTAAAAAAGCCCTCTGTAGCAACTGCTCCCTCTCCTGTTCCATCCTCCAGTTCTTCTCTGTCTCCAGCTGCTCCATTCGTTTGCAGACCTGCGTTTACTTGCAGTGCTCCAGTAGTTAAAACCAGAAAGCGAAAATTCTTTCCAACCAATACCATCCTGCCAGTATCCAAACCGGTGAACCTGCCTTCCGTGGTTCAGCCTGAAGCCTCTACTCAGCCTGAATCCTCTACTCAGCCTGATGCCTGACTCAGCCTGATGCCTGATGCCTGTACTCAGCCTGATGCCTCTACTCCTGATGCCTGATGCCTCTACTCAGCCTGATGCCTGTACTCCTGATGCCTGATGCCTGATGCCTGTACTCAGCCTGATGCCTCTACTCAGCCTGATGCCTCTACTCAGCCTGATGCCTCTACTCGGCCTGAAGCCTCTACTCGGCCTGAAGCCTCTACTCGGCCTGAAGCCTCTACTCGGCCTGAAGCCTCTACTCGGCCTGAAGCCTCTACTCCTCCTCTACTCGGCCTGAAGCCTCTACTCGGCCTGATGACCTCTACCTGCTCGCCTGAAGCCTCTACTCGGCTGAAGCCTCTACTCAGCCGACGCCTCATTCAGCCTGATGCCTCTACCCAGCATGATGAACTGATCCAGCCTGACGATCCTATTAGGGCCAGTTGACTCGATGCCCGCTGTTGATCCAGATGATCCGGTACCTGATCCGGTGCCCGCTGTCGTGCCAATTGACTCGAGCCCGCTGTCGTACTGGTGACTGGTGGTGCCTCGGTGCCCACTGCCTTGCCAGATGACGCGGTGCCCGCTGGCGAGCCAAATGACCTGATGCCTGGTGCCCCCAGTGCCCGCTGTCATACCTGGTGACCCGATGCCCGCTGTCGAGCCAGACGATCCAATGCCTGGTGACCCGGTGCCCACTGCCTTGCCAGATGACGCGGTGCCCGCTGGCAAGCCAAATGACCTGATGCCTGGTGACCCAGTGCCCGCTGTCATACCTGGTGACCCGATGCCCGCTGTCGAGCCAGACAATCCGGTACCTGATGACCCGGTGCCCACTGTCGTGCCTGTTGACTCGGAGCCCCACTGCCTTGCCAGATGACGCGGTGCCCGCTGTCGAGCCAAATGACCTGATGCCTGGTGACCCGATGCCCGCTGTCCAGCCAGACGATTCAATGTCTGCCCCAGTGCCCGCGGTCATGCCAGTTGACTCGGAGCCCACTGCCTTGCCAGATGACGCGGTGCTCGCTGTCGAGCCAAATGACTTGATGCCTGGTGACCCGATGCCCGCTGTCCAGTCAGACGATCCAATGTCTGACCCAGTGCCCGCGGTCATACCAGTTGACTCGGAGCCCACTGCCTTGCCAGATGACGCGGTGCCCGCTGTCGAGCCAAATGACCTGATGCCTGGTGACCCGATGCCCGCTGTCCAGCCAGACGATCCAATGTCTGACCCAGTGCCAGCGGTCATGCCAGTTGACTCGGAGCCCACTGTCGTGCCTGGTGACTCGGTGCCCGCCGCTTGCCTGGGGGGACCCGAGACCTGTCGCTCCGCCTGGGGGGGGGCGCCCCGCCGCTCCGCGCCTGGGGGTCCGGCGCCCGCCGCCCCGCCTGGGGGCCTGAGACCTGTCGCGCTGTCGCCCCTGAGGGCCCGAGACCTGTCGCTCCGCCTGGGGGGGGGCGCCCGCCGCCTGAGGGCCCGAGACCTGCTCCGCCTGGGGCCCGAGACCTGTCCGCCCGCCGCCTGGGGGGTCCGGCGCCCGCCGCTCCGCCTGAGGGCCCGAGACCTGTCGCTCCGCCTGGGGGCCCGGCGCCTGCCGCTCCGCCTGGGGCCCGAGACCTGTCGCTCCGCCTGGGGGTCCGGCGCCCGCCGCTCCGCCTGGGGCCCGAGACCTGTCGCTCCGCCTGGGGGTCCGGCGCCCGCCGCTCCGCCTGAGGGCCCGAGACCTGTCGCTCCGCCTGGGGGCCCGAGACCTGCCGCTCCCCTGGGGGTCCGGCGCCCCCGCCGCGCCCGCCTGGGGGTCCCCGAGACCTGTCGCTCCGCCTGGGGGCCCGAGCCCTGTCGCTCCGCCTGGGGGCCCGGGGGCCCGACCTGCCGCCCCGCCTGGGGGCCCGAGACCTGTCGCTCCGCCTGCCTGGGGCCCGAGACCTGTCGCTCCACCTGGGGGTCCGGCGCCCGCCGCCCCCCCGCCTGAGGGCCCCGAGACCTGTCGCTCTCCCTGCCTGGGGGTCCGGCGCCCGCCGCTCCGCCTGAGGGCCCGAGACCTGTCGCTCCACCTGGGGGTCCGGCGCCCCGCCGCTCCGCCTGGGGGCCCGAGACCTGTCGCTCCATCTGGGGGGCCGGCCCCGCCGCTCCGCCTGGGGCCCGAGACCTGTCGCCCCCCTGGGGGCCCGGCGCCCGCCGCCCCCCTGGGGGCCCGATGCCCGTCGCCCCTCCTGGGGGCCCGATGCCCCGCCCCCGCCTGGGGGCCCGATGCCTGTCGCCCCGCCTGGGGGGGCCCGATGCCTGCCGCCCCGCCCGGGGGCCCGAGCCTGTCCCCCCCCCGGGGGCCCGGGCCCCGTCCCCCCCCCCGGTGGGGGCCCGGGCCCGTGCTGCTCCGCCTGGGGGCCCGGGGCCTGCTGCTCCGCCCGGGGGCCCGGGCCTGCCTGCTGCCGCCCGCCCGGGGCCCGATGCCTGCTGCCCCGCCCGGGGCCCGGTGCCTGCTGCTGCTGCGCCTGGTGGCCCGATGTGCCGGCCTCCCCCGGAGTCCAGCCCGATGCCTGCCTCTGCCCGGTCCCCCCGATGTGCCTCTGCCCGGAGTCCCTGCCCGATGTGCCTCTGCCCGCCCGCCTGCCCGATGTGCCTGCTGCCCGGAGGCCCGAGTCCCCCCGGTGCCTCTGCCCGGTCCTGCCCGCCCCCGGGTGCCTCTGCCCGGAGTGCCTCTGCCCGATGTGCCTCTGCCCGGAGTCCCTGCCCGATGTGCCTCTGCCCGGAGTCCTGCCCGATGTGCCTCTGCCCGGAGTCCTGCCCGATGTGTGCCTCTGCTGCCCGGAGTCCAGCCCGATGTGCCTCTGCCCGGAGTCCTGCCCGATGTGCCTCCTGCCCGATGTGCCTCCCGGAGTCCCCGATGTGCCTCTGCCCGGAGTCCAGCCCGATGTGCCTCTGCCCGGAGTCCAGCCCGATGTGCCTCTGCCCGGAGTCCAGCCCGATGTGCCTCTGCCCGGAGTCCAGCCCGATGTGCCTCTGCCCGGAGTCCAGCTGCCCGATGTGCCTCTGCCCGAGTCCAGCCCGATGTGCCTCTGCCCGGAGTCCAGCCCGATGTGCCTCTGCCCGGAGTCCAGCCCGATGTGCCTCTGCCCGGAGTCCTGCCCGATGTGCCTCTGCCCGATGTGCCTCTGCCCGGTGTGCCGCTGCCCGGAGTCCTGCCCGGTGTGCCAGTCTTTGATATCCCGCCAGTTACCAGACCCGGGCGGTGGAACATTTTGCCCAGCTAGGACTGTTTGGAGCGTCCTGAGGCCGCTCCTTGAGGGGGGGGGGTACTGTCAGGAATGGACTGGCCAGCAATAGTGGGACTCAGCTGCCTTATGAGCTGCAGTACCAGGGCTGGCCAGCGGGTGCTCCCAGCAATCAGAGACTCAACCTTGCAGCCAGTCAAACACCTGGAACTAATTATACTGGTGTATTTAAGGGACATTCAGACCTGCAGACTCTGCCTTGGTGTTGTGTTTCTCTTGGGCCCTGTATCCTGTTCCTGCTCTCTGTTCCTGTCTGATTCTCTGCTGACCCTGCTCTGATCCCTGGCTTGTCTGACCATTCTCCTCTGCCTGACCCTCTGTACCACGCTGCCCGCTACCTGCTGAACCTGGCCTGTGACCCCGACCATTCTCCGCTTGCTCCCCCTGTACCTACCTGCCCGACTGATATTGACCCGGCCTGCCTGACGACGCTTGCATTGTATGTACTGTTATCTGTGGGTGGTTGGTTGGTTTGTTTGCACTGTGTTATGTTTTAGTATTGCACTGCGTTTATGTTTGTATGGTTAGTGTTAATAAATTACATTGTTTATAACATGTGTACATTGCAGAAAACAATACCTTTCTCAAATGTTTTGGGATATGTTTGTTGGCTGCTTTTAGTAAATAAGTAGCACATATATTTTTTTTTTTTTGTAATGTCCAACTGGTTACTCTGTACATTGAAATAGGAGCATACAAGGGTGTGTCAAGAAAAAAAAAAACATGATACCCATGGACATAATTTCTCTCTACTGATTAAGCTGAGGTGGGCTGGATTTACTCATACTGTATGTAATGAGTACATTCAGGGCCATATCACACCAACAATTTTAAAGCAGTAACAAATATCTTTGGTTAATTTCTGTGGTAATCTGTAGCTGGTTACAGAGTTGCTCTTGTAGCTCTTCAGGCCTCTGAAGACTCTGTCACTATTTTTAATAATATTAAGATTTTTAAGATAATTTAAGAGAAGCCTGCACTGTAAAGCAAGACATTCACACTCACCTGCCCTATTGCCCATGCTACTAGACTCCTGCTGAAAATAATTTTTTTCTGGAATATCTCCTGCATCTGACACTCCTACAAGTGTTAGATGCTGATGTTCCTCTTTGCGGTCTGTGGTTTTTCCTGCTGGTGTAAAGTCACTACATCCCACAGTATTGATGTAGGGGTCAGAGGAAGTAACCATAGAACACATAGAGGGACTAGGCATCCGACACACCAGAAAAAAATATACCAAATGCTGACTATCTTTTAGCAAGCGTCTTTCATAAATACAGGTATTTGCTAGAAAACAACACAACAAACAGGAATTGTTTGCTTTTCAGAATGTTCTTTACTTTTTTTTTTTTTAAATAATTACAGAGTTGCTTAAAAGATCCACACATATCAAGTGCATATGCAAAGCTTAGTATGCTTGTTTTCAAGATTTTGACACCATGGCTCAGAGTACACAGTGCAAAGAAGAAACAATGCTTCTCCCACAGTGGAATTGACTCCATAGTGGATTGTTCATTATTCATTTATTTTTCAGAAAAAGCTAATAAGACATCATTGGACCTTCACTGACTGCTGGTCTTATCATGAGTCACAGAAATGATCCAATGCTTAATAAAACTAATTCTGGGAAAAAGCACTTAAAGCGTTATTGATTACACATTTCACCGCGTTCTTTTCAACAGGGAAACAAGCCAGTACCCCTTCATCTTTCAATATTTTGAGTCTGTGATGGTCCCCTTAACATCAATTTGCAGGCCAAAAGCATAACTTATGCACAGAGGATGAGTTAAAGCATGCTTCTCAGCATAGGGGGACAACTTTTTATGTAATTCAGACCTATATCTGTAAATATGCAACAGAATCAGAAAAATGGAAACGTCCCTCCTGCTTTGTCACAGTTACAAGCATGGAGCATACGTTTTCACAAAAAGGGTTGCATTTTTCTGGGCTTACAGTGTAGCAAGTTTAGATACGAATGCTGGCGACTTCAACTAAACATCACATTTTTCTGTGTGAGTTTGAACTATTCTTGAGGCCATCAGAACTGCAAATTAATAATCATATTAAGCTTCACAATCTCCACAATGACATATAAACTGTTCTTAAGATCAGCATTTCAGAATAGTATTACATTAGTAATTTGTTATATGATTATATTACTTAAAAAACAAATCAACCCAAGCATCATGGTCCAAATCCATCATTATGCATAAAATCTAAATTATTGTACAATTCAGATGCAGAGAAGTTATTAGTGTAATGAGCATTGCTTTGGACAGTTTAGCATTGAATACATTAATTGACATGGTACATTTATATGTTCGCATTACTCCATTTGACATGTGTGATCCCATTTGTTTTTCTCAGCTTTAAAGCCCTTATTTTTTCATGCTAATTTGTGCAGTGATCTTCTTTTTAACATCCAATTACTAGTACATATGCACGGAATGTATGTATTTCTTACTATAGCTTTTAATAAAAATGCAGGCGAAGGAATTGTGTCAGCTCATAAGTTTTCTTTGGTAAGCAAAAATGGAAAGCCAGCTGAAGACAAGGAATACTATTTTTTCTCACATTTAATATTTAAACCATTATTTGGACTTAAAACACTTAGCATGTTGGAGAATATATAGCTTATATTTTCAGGGACATTAAACAAGAAGATCTATAAATGTGGTAAATTTCAGGATGCACTTTACACATTATTCAATGCACCTACTCTAGAGAGCTTCACCTGCAAAGTATGGGCCTCTGTACACTTCCTCCTTCTGTGGGATGCTGAGCAGCAGTGAAACAAATCTCCATAAATATCTTTAGGGCTAAAAACAACTATTTTTCCTGGGCAGCCTCTCATTCATGTGACCACTCAGGACCACATCTGTATTATACACAGCAAGGCAAGACCGCCAACTCCACCCTTGTTACAGGTGAAACTCAAAAAATTAGAATATCGTGCAAAAGTTCATTTATTTCAGTAATGCAACTTAAAAGGTGAAACTAATATATGAGATAGACTCATTACATGCAAAGCAAGATAGTTCAAGCCGTGATTTGTCATAATTGTGATGATTATGGCTTACAGCTCATGAAAACCCCCAAATCCACAATCTCAGAAAATTAGAATATTGTGAAAAGGTGCAATATTCTAGGCTCAAAGTGTCCCACTCTAATCAGCTAATTAAGCCATAACACCTGCAAAGGGTTCCTGAGCCTTTAAATGGTCTCTTAGTCTGGTTCAGTAGGAATCACAATCATGGGAAAGACTGCTGACCTGACAGTTGTGCAGAAAACCATCAGTGACACCCTCCATAAGGAGGGAAAGCCTGAAAAGGTAATTGCAAAAGAAGTTGGATGTTCCCAAAGTGCTGTATCAAAGCACATTAATAGAAAGTTATGTGGAAGGGAAAAGTGTGGAAGAAAAAGGTGCACAAGCAGCAGGGATGACCGCAGCCTGGAGAAGATTGTCAGGAAAAGGCCATTCAAAAGTGTTGGGGACTTTCACAAGGAGTGGACTGAGGCTGGAGTCAGTGCATCAAGAGCCACCACACAGACGGATCCTGGACATGGGCTTCAAATGTCGTATTCCTCTTGTCAAGCCGCTCCTGAACAACAAACAACATCAGAAGTGTCTTATCTGGGCTAAAGAAAAACAGACCTGATCTGTTGCTCAGTGGTCCAAAGTCCTCTTTTCTGATGAGAGCAACTTTTGCATCTCATTTGGAAACCAAGGACCCAGAGTATGGAGGAAGAATGGAGAGGCACACATTGCAAGACGCTTGAAGTCCAGTGTGAAGTTTCCACAGTCTGTGTTGATTTGGGGAGCCATGTCATCTGCTGGTGTTGGTCCACTGTGCTTCATTAAGTCCAGGGTCAATGCAGCCGTCTACCAGGAGATTTTGGAGCACTTCATGCTTCCTTCCGCAGACGAGCTTTATGGGGATGCTGAGTTCATTTTCCAGCAGGACTTGGCACCTGCCCACACTGCCAAAAAGCACCAAAAAACCTGGTTCATTGACTGTGGGATTACTTTGCTTGATTGGCCAGCAAACTCGCCTGACC